CCCTCCGTAGCAACTCAACTAAAACCAATGTTTGCCCATCTGATATTCAAACATGCAGCTCTCTGGATCAAATGTCAGGTAGTCGGATACTAAATCCTTTTTTTACGCTGACCTAGCTGGTTTTTCACTGAATACAAACAACTTCTACACAGCCAACTTGAGTGTTTGTCGCATAGTAATCTCTAGTGGTAAATGGACACAAACAACCTTTTATCACGAACAACAGATACTTCACTTTGAATAGGGAAAAGAGAACTTAAAAGCTTTTAAGAAACAGTTTACCACATTGTGTTTTTTTAGAGGGTTGAAGAAAAGCACGTTATCTCCTGGTAAATTGACTGGTACTGCCACTCTTTTAGTGACAACACAGCAGATAAGATATGTTCTTATGTCCCCTGTAAAACTCTGAATTTAGATCAGTATTTTTAAGGCTACATTGTATTGGATACAACATTTTAAAAAGTTAGGCCATTTTTAGAACAGTTATGTTGCTAAACTATGAATACAAAGAGAAAGTGAATCATTTGAATAACTTGCCATGTTTCTCTGAATAGCAATGCTAAAAGATACATTGTCTGTCTGTCTGCCTCAAATACAAAACATCTGCATCTACACACAAGTGCACAGACATGCATGTGCAGACGAGCAATTTCTCTCTCTCTCTTCCTCTCTCTTTCAAACACACACACAATCCCTTTTCTCCCAAACAAAGAGCTGAAGGCCACAGGTCTTCAAACACTGACTCATGTCGTCCAGGCAGATGGCACTATCTTCACTAATCTTTCTTTCTGGACACCTTTTTATTTCATGGGCAGATGTTCCATGCAAAAGAACAGCAAGATATACCCATTAAAGATATTAAATAGATATGGGTTATTTTTCCATCAAATTGATTTCTGATTGTTCTTCAGTCCATGCTGAACACTGTTCATATATGGTTGTATTTGATTTTGTAGTGCGCCAGATAAAAGTATCAGACTCAAATCTCATTTTGGAGAGATCAAAGAGAAATAGTCTCTCTCTCTCTGTCTTTCTTTCTCTTTCTCTCTCACACACATACACACATAAATTGTCAATCTGCCATAAAATGACAAAGTTATGAGACAGGTTGCTCTCTCTCTCTCTCTCTCTCTCTCTCTCTCTCTTTCTCTCTCTCACACGAACACACACAAATAAATAAATTATCAATTTGCCACAAAAAAGCAACCAGTTATAAGTCAGGACAGAACTGGTCACCACCAAACAGCCCACACACCTGGTCACACACCTGTTCTGTCACCTACAGGACATACCAATGACAAACACTGCACCCCAGTGACATCAAACACTGTCACACTGCAACCACATCCTTCCTTTGACTAAATGTCCTCTGTCTCTTAACTCTCCTAAACAGTTGACACTGGGCCGACTGGTTTGTAACAGGACGAACTAAGATCGTGTTTTTGGACAATTGTCTGTATTGGTGGAAATGACTCCGGTTTTCTTGATACCAGTGTTGTCACAGCCATTTCCTTCACCTCAGCTCTTATCCCATATCATGTTTACAGGAACAAATGGTTACAAATATGGTTTGAAAACGGAAGGACTAAAATACTGCTCAAGTTGGTTCTCTGTTTATGATCTGGAACAGTTCTGTACCCTTGGTTTGATGCAGAACTGACTAAGGGTGCATTCACCATAAAACTATCATACTAGGTACTTTATAGATCAATCCAACTCTGCGGAGACTCTTGCTGAATGTAATCAGTTTAACATATTAACACACCTACTCTTTTCCAATATAATTTCTGTATTCTTCTCAAGGCCAAGAGGAGGCGTGTTAATCCATTTAACTGATTGCATTCAGCAAGAGTCCTATAGGAGTTGGTTTGAACTTTCTAGTTCCACAGTTTCATTGTTTATGCACTATAAAATTGAGTTTAGAATGGCGGACAGTAACAATACCACTTATTGGTGCCAATTCTGTCTCACAGTGGTCACCCCCCCCCCCCCCACCCCCC